GTGTATATATATATATATATATATATATATATATATATATGTGTGTGTGTGTGTGTGTGTGTGTGTGTGTGTGTGTAACGTAAAAGTAACGATATTAATATCTAGATTTATAAAGAACTTACATGAAAAGAATTCTTCCTTTGAAAAACGATCAAATTGTCTGAGAGCACAAAGTATGCTTCGCGGTTATGATAGAATAGAATTTTAAGAATGGCGATTTATACGTACGGTCAGCATTTCTCACGAAATATTCACGAGATATCGACCATGCCGAAGTGGTTACGTGTTCGCTTTTTTGATGATTCATTGTTTTTGTTTTTTCCGCACTTGGAGAGTTCGCGCGTTTACCCAACGAAACGTAGAAAACATTCATGATGAATAAATCGCGATTCAACGATTCTAATTCCACATTCTTCAATTGAATTTAAACGGTCGCGTTCTCACGTCTAATTTTCAAAATCGCTCGACACGCTTTATCATCGTCACGCCATCGAATACATCGGTTCGTTACCGTGCGTTAGAGAGAACATTTCACAAATCTGTCTTCACGTGGAGCAGTCACACCTTTTCGCTCTTATCGCGGTTATGAATGAAGGACCGAGCGAGAGCAAGATTCGCGCAATCACAGAGAGAGAAGCGGTGCGTCACTAAATCCTTCGAGCACAGCTGGTCCATACTTCCACGTGGGCAACTGCAGCTCTCTGCGCGAGGCGCATCTTCGCTAGCAGGGATAGGATCCTGCGATTCCTGCGTCGCCGGTGCGGTGGGTGACGTACGATCGTTGCGAAAGGGCTCTAGGTAGGACCGTGCACCACTTCCGTCCCTCTAAAATACCGTTCATTCATCATGCCGCACTTACACTAACGCATCGCGCCGCGACACCTTCACCTATAGGGCAGCGAGAGCGAGCGGAGGGACGCAGAGGGTGTTATGCACCCGGTGTCGTATATGCACCGTTCGCGAAAGGGCGAACAGGTGGGGAGGAGGGGATACAACGAGAGAGGTCGTGCGAAGAGGTCGTGGGGTAGGTACGGGACGATAAAAGGGGGTAGGGAGCGAGAGGGAGATAGGTGCGTAAAGAGACCGGTGGGCGAAATGCTGCCGTGGTGGAGACCGCGACTCAACTGCGCCAGCGCTTAGCTAGATATCAGCCCCCGACCACCGACGTCA